GGATTCATTAATGAGTCAGTTATTATAGTTACCTCAGGGCGGGAGTACGGAGCCGGAGTATACCCACACAGCATACTTAGATAAAGCAAACTCGGGCTGTCCCCATGTGGTAGACACGACATCATCCATACCTTGGGTCACTGCAAGCAATCTGCCAGTGGACATGGATCCTTCCGTTTCCCTTGACTAGTGTACATACATACGGAGTACAGGTCTTGACTTGCCTTAGGGCCGATGCTACCAATCCGCCCGAGCAGATGGCAGGTCTGTACTCTGGACTCCCGACTCCGGGCTCTAGACCCTGCACTTCCTGGACTTTTGTACTCTGCAGGCCGGGCTCGAAGAAAATTCTGCACCCGTAAAATAAAGATGGCTGTGGACGACACCCGGTTCCATTCTTCCTTCGCCATTTCTGCCATAATTCGCGGAATCGGTGCAATTTTCAGATCCCTTTCCTAAAAAAAAACTTCATCACAAGTACCAGAAGATATGGCAGATCTGGCAGTAGGGGAGAAGTCGACTCCTCAGGAGATTGGAGTCGAAAGATCTGATTCAGAATGCGGCCCAGCGGGAGAAGGAAGCATGTCGCCCCAGGCAGAGAAGAAAATGATGCGCAAGGTTGATATCAACTTGATGATTCCCCTATGGATCCTCTTCGTCTTTGGCTTTCTCGACCGCATCAATCTCGGAAACGTGGCTGTTTTGGGGATAATGGAGGAATTGAAGCTCAGGGGGAACCAGTTCAATGTTGCCGTCCAGGTTTTTTTCGTGCCATACGTTCTGATGGATATTCCAAGCAATATCCTGCTGAAGAAGTTTGCTCCATCAACCTGGATCAGCATGCTCACTTTCTTGTGGGGTGTGTGATATCATTTCTACTCCCTTTTCTCGTCCGAATGAATACGTTGACTGAGCGAATCATTGTAATCTCTAGGCGTATCATCCATGTGTCAAGGCTTTGTGAGAAACAATGGCGATCTCATTGTGTGTCGCTTTTTCATCGGCGCGTTTGAGGCTGGCTATGTCCCCGGCTGCGCATACTTGATGGCCACATACTACAAAAGACATGAATTCCAGAAACGACTTTCACTCTTTTGGGTTGCAGGTCTGCTTGCAGGCGCTTTTGGAGGCCTCCTCGCATACGCCATTGATCATATGGATGGCCTCGGAGGCTATTCTGGCTGGAGATGGATATTCATACTGGAGGGCCTCTTTTCAATCGCTCTTGCGGGACCGGCAAAGTTCTTTATTGCCGACTGGCCAGAACAGGCTAAATTCCTGACTAGCAAAGAAAGGAAAATGATGGTCACTCGCAGCAGCCAAGATGTTGGCGGAGGTGCACGTATGGACAGGCTTGATCTTGCTGCCTGGAAAAGGATCCTATCTGACTGGAAGCTTTATGTTGGCACATTCATCTATATCAACATTACAGTGTCCGGATATGCGACTGCTCTTTTCATCCCAACTATTGTGAAGTCCCTCGGGTATTCTGGGATCCAAAGCCAAATCCACAGCATTCCGGTATGGCTTGTGACAGCGTTCGTCACACTCGTTGTTTCATACCTTACAGACCGCTTGAAGCACCGGCTTGGATTCATCATCTTTGGTGTTATGTTCGGGAGCATTGGGTATATCATCCTCCTTTGTCAGGGTCCCGTGGGTGGCGGGCTACCTGACGCTGTTCGCTACATGGCAGTGTTCTTCGTGAGCGTTGGCTGTTATATTGTCCAGCCCGTGACGATCGTCTGGTTTGCGAATAACCTAGGAGGTCATTACAAACGAGCTATTGGCCTGGCGATCCAGATTGGAATCGGTAATCTGGGCGGCCTGGTTGCAAGCAACGTCTTCGTACCCAAAGACGCACCCCGGTACTTCGTTGGCTATGGTGTTTGTCTGGCCACCATGATCATGTGCGGAATTAGTAGTATTGTCCTTGCTCTCGGGCTTGTGCGTGAGAACAGACTGAGAGAGCAAGGCAAGCGTGATGATAGGCTTCAGCTGGATGAGAGCATCCTGGGGAACATGGGCGATGACGATCCGCGCTTCCGATTCACGATCTAACGAGTCATGTTTTTAACGGTTTTAATGACAGTACGATAATGAAGTATCAGTATAGGTTTAACTAATGCCATACCCTTTTATACCATCCTCCTTGACACTAGTTTTGTGCTTGACGATTTAATACCCTATATTCCATAAAAGGCCATGTTATGCTGGCTCCACCCGAGCCGAGTAGTACCCCGGACCAGAGACTTATTGTATATCACTCGAGCCTCTAAGGAAGGCCAGATACATTGCAATTTTAGCTGGTATTAGCCTTGTGATAGCTTTCAGCTGATGAAATATTGCGGAAAGTAGCCTTATATCCTCCTGTACGATGGGATGAAACTGCGCAATCTGTGTAACGAACGGCAGAGTTGCGTTTCAAATCAGCATCGACACGGTATAAAATGTTCACTCCATGCGTTACCACAGAGAATAAAGGGTCATAAGACGGTGTTATGAGAGCAAGTCGTTGATATGGGTGAGCCATGGAGTTGTGTGTCGTTGAGGATGGTTAGGCCCAGGTGGGAAAATATTTATAGGCAGAACGTCGGCTTCTTCTTGACCACGTCGCTACGACAGTGAAGACAGAAGATCAGCCTGGATCACATCTACAGCTAGCTGTAGCCAAAAAGCATATTGACGAGCTCATACATATACTTGACGGCCTTGATCTAGGAAAGCTCCACCACTTCTCAGCATCATGCGTCTTGCCGGAATGAACATGGCCTCCGTGGCCTTGATAACTATATCATGCCTTGCACCTTTTACCGGGGCCGTGTGGACTTGTCCCAGCGAAAGAGAGGCCTACTGCTGCACTCACTATGAAGACAAAACTCCCAAGGGTCTCTTTGGAACCGGATGTATGTAAAATTCCCTGTGTAAAGACGTGACGACGTTCCATGGCTGTATGCTGATGCATCAATAACTGGATCTTACAGGCACCCTTGCTCCGAGAAAAGAAGGCTGTAAAGATAAATCACCCGTGGAATGCTGCAAGCCTTTAGTACGTTCTCTCTTTTGTCTTGATCGTGTTTATAATAAAAAAGAGAGCAAGACGAAAAGAAAAGGAGTATCTGATAATTGTTCGTGATAGGCCGATCAGACCACTCATTTCTGCGATAGCCGTGCAAAGGGGTACATGTTTGTTGAGCAGAATGAAGGCCATCGAAAGGCATAGATGTACGGTTGTGGGGGGTCACAAAAGCCAGTACACACAAGGGGAAGAGAACAGGGACTCGAATAGTATTTAATAGGGGATGCTGTAAGATCTTCTCGGGATTGTGCAAAGCAGGTCATCAACACCTGTTTATAACGATCGTTCTATGAATGGAATTTATCTTCAAACATAACAACGGTGGGCCATAATAAATCATGCCGGAAGTTCGTGGAAATATGTCTAATGGTATACCCAGAGATAGCATGGGAAAGAACAGTATTCACAACTCAGTCTCAGTCGGGATATCCCAAAGCACCTCAGCATTATGCTGGAACAATCTTTTGACCATATCCTGATTTCCACCACACCAGTCAACACAAGCTTTGATGAACGGGACAATGTCGACCGAGTCGAACCTCGTGTGCGGCCAGTCAGTAGCAAACACAACCCGACCGGGTGCGACACGCATACATTCCGTGAATATTTCCCGTAGGCCATCAAACTGGGGGTTGCTTGTGAGACGGTACGCAGCAGATATCTTAACATATGTATGACCACCTTTCAAAAGCTCGATCATCTCCGCAAAGCCAGGGAGGGAATAAGGGTCAAAGCCTGTCGTGCTGGCCGGGCCAGAGACTGAAATAGGTAGTTTGGGGCTTGCGAAGTGGTCGAGACACACAGTGACCCCTAAATGTGGTACAATTTCTACCAGGGATGGGACGTGCTGGAGGGCAATGTATAGCTGCAAAACCCAGCCATAGGGACGAATGATATCCGCATACTTGTGCATAACTTCCTTCAGTTCCCCGGCACTCATCTCCTTGCCAGTCGATTGCAGGTTAAGTCTCACTCCACGTACACCCCATTGATGCCATGACTTAAGGGTATCATCAGATGGTGGGTTGGCTGGATCCAGGGACACCACCGCTCTACCCTGCTTGGGGCCCAGCTCCTTCAGCCCCTCGAGCATGCATGAGTTGTCGAATCCGTATATAGACGGCTGTACCAGGACAATATTTTGGATGCCAACCGAAGACTCAAAAGCCATCGCATCAGATAGTGTGTGAATAGGGGGCACATATTGGGCATCTGATGCGAGGGGATATTTCTCTGGATCAACAATGTGCATATGGCTATCCCATGATGCCGGAGGGAGTTTTGGTAGAGTGCTCATGCTCCTGTACCGCGGAAAAATAGCCTTAGAGAACTGATATGATGTAGTTGGCCAACAAGAGGGCAGCCTGCGAAGTAGATATCTCATGGCAAAGGGTGTGTGTAGTCTGGCTGTTGTTGTTCCAGCTCCTGATTCATCAAAATTGGAACATCAGGCCAGTCACGTGGAAATCAGCAGATGGAGACGGGGAGAAACAGTCCGCTGGTTTTCAAGGATGATCCAGGGTGTTATCATTATAGACGGAGAATGATGGAACGTTGAGAAGAGATGAGCTGTCTCCTCTCCGTTTTGGGGTCCGTTGGGCAACCATGCAATATTTGAAATCCAGTTTGCAGTCTGTACCAGCATTGGCTTAAAGGTGTACTTCTAAACGATGTATTTATCAACGGTATGTTTCAGTGATTTTGCATGTAGTTAAGTCCAAATAACCGTAATCCTATCTAAAGACGAAACAAATGAAAAGCAACGCCTAGCCACCACCATCATGTATATATAGTATGCAGAAGCCAAAATGCCAGGATTTTTCTTCCTATAGGTATATATATAAAACAAAAAAAATTCGAAAGTAGATCAAGCATAGCTTAGGTCAAGATCGAGGAAAATGAAAGACAAATGATATATACTCTAACTTGTTGGCCCAGTGCCGGCCCAGTTAGTAGAGTCGAACCCTGCCCCAACACCACCGGGCGTGTTGGGTTCCGCATATGAGAAGGCTTCGAATAGCTCTGGAGCGATTTCATACATTCGATCTTGAGCGATGAAGTCAGGAGGGTCAGGTAGCGGCGGGGTATCCATCATGAAGGTGGTGTTTTGGTGTGGCAATGGCTGTTGTTGCTGCTGATGTGCCTGCTGGGGATCTGCTGGAGGAGGTGTGATACTAAACGCCCCATGGGGTGGCAGGGTATACATATGTTGGCTATGTAAGGGGTCTAGAGAAGAAGGCGGCGACGATGTAGTAGTTTGCGGGGATACAGCCGGGATGGTTTGTTGATCTGGGTTGGCCGGGGTGTCGAATATATTGATTCGGAGCTTCTTGAGCTCTTTCTCAATTAGGCCGAGGGCAGTGTGTATTACTAGTTCAAGGTTAGCTACAATGAGTTTTTCAAGGTATCATTCACTTAGTGGATGCAGACCTGGATTGGCAGCTTTCACGCGTTCAAGGGCTAGGATGCAGTATCTCAGCTTTTCCAACGTTGAAGGAGACGCATATTTCAATGCCTGGATCTCAAGTATGAAGATAGAAGCAGCCGTATATAAACTGTATGCAAGAGACAGAACGACGTGACTGTCACCAAATGTCCGTCTAAAGAGGTCATAAAGAGTTATGTTGGAGGATGCAGAGGAGAGGCATTGAACCAAATGGTTAGCATTGCTTGCAGCATTTGCCCTTGACCTGAAAGGCCTGGAGCAGAGCATTGGACGGTGGAGGAGGATGTTGGTAGTGTGATATATGCAGCTAATAGAAGAATTAGTAAGCGGTACACTTGAAGAACAAGGGCAGATAACATACTTAAGAGTCACAACATGGCTTGGTGGGCAATATGTGGGAAGATTATTGGGGATAAGTTTTAGGAATGGCGGGAGCTCATTCCACCATTTTTCGAGATTGGCTCCCTGTTTATCCACACATTCCTGTATCTGAGATTCCGTGCTCTGGCGAACAGGATCGTAGATATGGATAATAATTTGATTAAGGATTTCAGCCAACGAACACATCTTCATGAAGCATGACGTTGAATGTGCCTGTGTCGGAGGATAGTGCATGCCCTCGGGGAATACTACTCCGTGAGGAGTCCATATCTCGATCTCTGCAGTATCATCCACTTGAATGCCACATTAGCAATGCGACCAAATGAGAAGGGGCTAAAGGTAAACTTACAAAGAATCCGCGGCGGAGAGACCGGGGTATCCTGGATGATTGGAGATCGACCAAAGTACAGTGACACCAGTTTGTCCCAAAAGTAACAGCTCCAGAAAAGTCGATTTCTTATCTCAACGTCTTCATCTGAGAACTGCACTGACCCAGAGTACTTTCGGCTATCGATGGTTATGCCCAAATCCTCTAGCAGTCGAAAGGCCATCCCGCTGTATAACCACGCCTGGGTACGATTTCCACGGCCGCATTCCTGAGCGCTGAGAAGAAGAAGCGTTTGGACAACAGTTATTTGACCGTTTCCACCTTTCAAACTTTCGAATAACCCCGTCACGGCTCGTTGTCGGAATTGCTGCCCTCCATCGTATGCATCAAGCATACGAGCAATCTTCGGTTCGTCCCTGCACCATCGAAGCGAGTGGGAGAGAATGGCGTTCAGGAGGATTTCCGAAAAGTAAGGGCCGTTCATCTTCATGTCACCTATGATATCAACCCAAAATTTAGCTATCCAGAATGAAATGATCTCTTACAATTGCCATAATTGGGTACATACGCGTGAAAGCCGGGCGATAAACGAAATTAAACAAAGGCTGTATCCAACACCAATGAGAATCCAGAAGGTAGTTGAATGGTTCCTATTTTGGAGCGGATTAGTGGATGACTAGACATATCTCGACGAGAACGGTCCCCGTTTCGTCGAAGTCAGAAAAAGCTCATACTGGGATGGTAGTCAACTGCTCGAAGGCACGTTCTCTCCATGCATTGTTAATGAGACGCTCTTTTCGACCATCGGACTCATTATCGACTGGCAAAGCCGGGTTAGCAGCCTCTGCCAGACCGCTCGGCAACTGAAATAGACTCGTTGGCCCATGGAAAGAGATGCGCCCGTCATCTTCTACTGTTAAGCCTTCGATGTCCCGAGAGAGTAGATCCACGGCTTCCTTATCATCTTCACGGTGTTGCTCGAGTGAATCGATAGACGAAGGCCGATCTGATTCCTCGATCTTCAACCCCTGCTGCTCCTGTTGTTCTGTGTCACCGCCATTGCGGTTCTGGAACTCATTTCTATACTTTGCCAGCTCCGCTTCGAGCTTTGCGATGCGTGATTCGAGGGTCCGCGTGTACGACAGCGTTGGGGTTCTTCAGCTATCGATTAGTATTTGCTTATGCGGCGCTGGATACTTGTAACGAATGTGGTCAAATGCTCACAATGTATACACGCATGTTTCTCCCCGCGCGGAGCAGCGCGAACATGACGGTGTCGCAGCATTACATTTTACCTATACCGCCGTAAGCCTCTTGGTTGGTTAAACGATCAAGGCATAATTAATATAATTACCTTACGCTTGCGACATGCCTCGCATGAGAAAGCGCTTTTCCGAGAGATTGATGGTTTTGACGAGTCAGACATGGGATCCAACGAGAGGTGAGCGCAGCGTGAATCGGCCTGTGAGTTCGTGGCTCAACGGCCATCTCACGGGATCCGAGAGCGCTATTCGTATTCCTGGTACCCGTTCGCAACTTGGTCGGACAGCAAGCAGCTTGCTATCCCATCTTGTATCTTTTATATCAAATCGCATTACAAAAACGAGATCAACGTGAGGCCAAATTTCCGCGGGGCAAAACCGGGCCGGGATTTTGTTTCTCCATAGCCGAGGTAAGCGCTCGGATAAAAAGTTTATCCATATCACATGATATTATTCCCAAAGCGGAAGGTGAAGGTGATTTTAGGTCTATCTAAAACATCTACTATACTACATATTAATACATACCTAAGTGAGCACCGTATTGTACATCTATATGGAGAGGCCGGAGTCCTGAAGAGAAATAGAGAGGTCATTGGAACCTCCTTTCGAGGTTGACAAGCCAGGCGTGTACGTCGTCGACCTTCATCTTCATCTTTGCAGTTGTCCGTTCACCAGGTTTCGCGGAGAGAGAGATATCCCAGCAGGGTATGCCGTCCAGCAGCGCCTTGATTTCGTCCTCACTCTTGCCGCCAACCTGGCCGGACAAGTCAATGTCTACCGATCCGTCGGCGACATTCTTGGGTCCCATGATGAAGACTAGGTTGTACCTCGCAGCATGAGCGTCGTGGATCTTCTTGGGAAGTGATCTACTGGCAAGATCGAGATCGACGTTGAACGTCGGTTGTAGAGGTGATAGCGGTAAGCCAGTACTTGAGGGGCGGCTGGAAGTGATGGGTTCGAACCCCGATATCTTAGCCACTGCATCTTCTGCAGCTTGCTCTAGTCCCTTCCCGATAGTAAGGAGGATGGCCTGGCGGGGTGAGAGCCAGAAAGGCCACTGGCCGTTATATCGTTCAATCAAAAGCGCAAAGAACCGCTCAAGGGAGCCAAAAATAGCCCGATGAATCAATACAGGGGTGGCCCTCCCGCCCGTAGCTGGGTCATATTCCTCTGAGCCCTCGGGAACTAGATACTCTAGCTCAAACCTCTGTGGGAGATTCATATCCAATTGTATGGTAGATAGCTGGTGGTATTTGCCCTGGGAGTCCTGAATCTGCAAATCAATCTTTGGGCCGTAGAATGCGCCGTCCCCTTCATTAAGCTCCCAGCTTAGGCCGCTGTTATCCAGTGCCTGTCGAAGCTGTTGCTCGGCATTTTCCCATTGTTCCAAACTGCCGATAAAGTCCTTTTCCGGCCGGGTAGAGAGGACAAGTCTATATCCATCTGCAAGTCCAAAAGTTTGGAGGACAGTGTCCGCGAACTTCAGCGCCAACTGTATCTCGCTGCCGATCTGACCCGGACGACAAAAAATGTGCCCGTCATCCTGGTGGAACCTCCTTACCCGCGTCAGACCCGAAAGCGAGCCCGAAACTTCGTTACGGTGAAGAGGGCTGAAATCCGCATATCGGACCGGGAGTTCTCGATATGAATGCTTCTGAGATTTGAATAAAAGGCAGTGTCCAGGACAGTTCATAGGTTTTAAGCCATATATCTCATTCTCGCTCGTGTCGCTCGTTTCGCCGGTATCCCCTCGCCCTCCTACCTCGTACATATCATCCTTATAGTTTTGCCAGTGTCCGGACACTTCCCACAGCGATTGTTTATAGATATTCGGGGTGAGGACTTCACGGAATCCGTACTGCTTGTATTGGGCGCGAAGGAAGGTGATGAGCTTGTTGAGGATGTGAGTACCATTGGGACGGAATAGAGGGGATCCAGGGCTATAAATGGAGTTCGTAAACAGGTCTTGCGCTGTACCGAGAGCTCTGTGATCCGCCGAAGCTGTCGGGGCCGGTTTTATATCGGGTGTCTTGGTGTCCTGCTGCGCTGAGCATGAGCAGAATCTGCTCTGAACCGGCGACGCAGCAGCAAACACCAGTTGCCGTCGACTTATTTGGCGAAATGACGACCGGCCGCCCCATCTCTGGGCTGCCAAAGGAAACCGTCTCATGAGAGTCCCTGCTTCGTTCGATGGTCTTGTAGTCTTTCGTTTCGTCGAGTTTCTTCATCGCGAAGTTTTGCCTTTTACCCCCCGGGCCGAGCTCCTATCACGTGTAACTTAAACTAACTAACTAGTTATCTCCATTGGTTATCCTGCCCCTTTTAACAAAAGCCGATGAAACAACAACATCGAGAAACCGGCGGAGAAGCGGGAATATTCATAACTAGAAGAATTCACAGCTCCTATTACGCGACAGTATGAAGAGGATCGGTGCAAAATAACTTCTTATCTCTCCTCCCATGGCCTGTCCCTGATTGAGACACGCACCCTTGGATTTCACTAGTTAATTAGTGATTATATTACCTCGGCTCTGGTAGCTTGCTACGTAGCAAGAGCAACTCCTCCAGCATCCTTATTTTAAATCGACACTTCGTCTACTCTATATACCTAAGACTGTGCTGGACCCGGGGCCGTCACTGCGTTAAAAGACCCAATATCTGCCTCAAGAAAGTTATCTGCTTGTTACAGGATAGCAGATCCAAGACGATATTTGAAAATATCCAGGAAGAAAGGCTTTCATCCATCCACAACAATCATACCAAACAGCCAGAGATAAATATACTAAGATGTCTCCATCTCTTCCAGAATCGTATGCGGCCCTACCAACCGAGCACATCAAGCTCTCCCATGTCCCAGCATCATCGCCGACACCTACACCGGTATTGCTGCTTACATTGCACCGGCCGGAGAAGCTCAATGCCTACACGGAGCAAATGTCCAGAGAAATAGCTTCAGTGTTCGGGATGGTTGATATTGATGACCGTGTGAAAGCCGTTGTGATGACGGGCTCCGGCGACAAGGCGTTCTGCGCCGGTGCAGATTTAGACATTGGTTTCAAAGGAATGGGGACCGGAGGTGCCGCTGCCAGGGAAAAGGACCACAGAGACGGGTATGTATACGGGTGCCTTAAACAACCAAATCCCAACTACGGCTAATACCTTGGTGAAGTGGTGGTAGAATAGCCCTGGCAATACATAACTGCCGAAAACCAACTATAGCAGCCATCAACGGATCAGCCGTTGGTATTGGTATCACCATGACGCTACCAGCAACCATCCGCGTGGCTACCGCAAAGGCAAAAATCGGCTTTGTATTTTCCCGCCGTGGGATTATCATGGAAGCCGTGTCCTCGTTTTTCCTACCAAGGCTTATCGGCTACTCTCGTGCCCTGCACGTCGCTACCACTGGTCTAGCATACCCAGCTGAACACTCTTTACTGAAGGACTTATTCTCAGAGCTCCTGCCTACGCCAGAAGCTACACTGGCTAGAGCTCTCGAGATAGCTGATGATATTGCACGTAATACGTCGACGATATCAACTTCGTTGATGAGAGATCTCATGTACCGAGGCCCAGACAGCGCAGAGGCCACGCATCTGCTTGATTCTTCCCTTATCTATCCCCTCTTTGGTAACAGAGACAACGAAGAAGGGGTAAAAAGCTTCTTCGAAAAGAAAAGCCCACAGTTCAAAGGGTCATTCAACAACCCGAAAGATGTTCCTGCTGCGTATCCCTGGTGGAACCAAGTTGACGTCTCCCCGCCAAAGCTCGCTTCGAAATTGTAGCCAATAGACAGATGAATGTGTGCTTCTTTACTTACCTTATCTACACAGAATGCCTTAGCTGGCGTAGACTAAAGCAAATGATTGAATGAAACCTTTGATTGTCAATAATGCTGAAGAGTGGTGTATATCTTTGATAAACTAAATAATAACACAAAGAGCAAATGCAACAACTGGGCCGGGTCTATATACAGTCCATAAATCATTGATATCCAGATCATAGACAAGGGCACGATGGAACTATCGTAGAGTAACCAACTCCTCCGCGCTGGTAGGATGGATGGCTACACAAGAGTCGAAATCCTTCTTGGTGGCACCCATCTTCATCGCAACACCAAAACCTTGCAACATCTCACCAACACCAAGGCCAAGAATATGCAATCCAACAACTTTCTCCTCGGGCCCGGCACAGATGAGTTTCATCTCAGTGGGGTTTTTCTCTTTCTCCTCAGCTGGGAAAACGCTGAAGAACATATCTGTGAACTTGATGTGGTAGATCTTCAAGTTCTCCTTGCCATACTTTTCGATGGCCTCGGGTTCGGTGAGACCAGAGGTTCCGACCTCGGGATGGGAAAAGACCACAGTTGGGATATTTTCATAGGAGAGCTTAGAGGACTTGAGCTCTGGAGGCCCAAAAAGGCGGTTTCCAAGCTGTCGACCAGCAGCAATGGCGACTATTCTCACAGTTAGCAGAGAGAAGCAGTAGAACAAAGAGCCACATATATCTACGTACCTGGAGTTAGCTCTGCCTGGCCTGTTACATCCCCGAGAGCGTAGATACCATCGACCGAGGTGTTTTGGAATTCATCGACGATAATGTGGCCACTTTCCTTTTGCTTAACACCAATCTCCTTGAGGCCCAACTTTGTAACTGCGGGAGCACGGCCAATAGCCCAAAGAAGCTCGTTGACCTCCATCTCTGATCCGTCATCGAATGTGAGTTTGAGACGCTTTTCCGCGCCCTTCCCGGGGCTTAGCAATTCAACCTTCTTCATTCCAGTATATCCTCGGTGGATGTGCATGCCAGCAGCCTCATAACGTTTTGTCATAGTCTCCTGGATCATGGGGTCAAATTTCCTCAAAAAGGTGTCTCCGCGGATGAACATGTGTGTCTCGACGCCAACGGCATTCATAACACCAGCCAATTCAACCGCAATGTACCCGGCTCCAACCACGGCCAGCTTGGGAGGCAGCT